TTATTTTAATAGCTTTATTATTTTAGTAGCATTTTTTCATTATTATTTTAGCAGCATTTATTATTTGTATAACTCAACATCCACATAAATTTTGTACCAAGCATTTAATGCATATCTGGTTTTATCGCCTTTATTAATTCTCCATTTGAATAATTACAAGAATGAAACTTGTTTTTTTCAGAACTGTTGGAACTGCCATTAGAATCATTACCAGTGAAAGGTTACTTGTAGTTACTGTTAATTCAGTCTGCAGATAGGAAAATGCACTTGTCAGAAAATGCTTTACACCATATTCCTATTGCAAGAATAATTAATTTTTTCCAAATTGTCTCTAAAAGATTATTAAAAAGTATGATCTCTCATTCCCTCTGTCAATCTGTGCATATAATTAAGTGTGCATCGTCTAAAATTCCTCACAAATATAATAAAGAAAAACTCATGACACAGAAGTAAAAAGACGTCTTTCAGATAAAAATTTAGTTTCAGGAACTATGGGCTATGTGGATTTTGTTTCCTTTGGCTGAGGATACAGGAGAAGACCTGTCTCAGATCAGAGACCATCAAAATCTGTATTAGATAAGTATGTAATATCAACAACATAAATCCCCTGACTCATGTTAGAGCTTGTTCAAACAGGGCTCAGCTGTTTGCACTGTGTACCTTAAAACAGTTGCAGTTGTAGAGATTTACTGAGTAGCTGCGTGATCCTTGGTGCATAAATCACCAAATATCAAATGCTGGTAGCAGCACCAACAGAAGATCAGAAGAGTGAACGAATCAGTGATTATATCATCTCAATTTCTGTTGTGTCTTCTATGACTTGTTGTGTCCCAAACTATTTCCTAACAAGCATTCATTAATCAATTGACTCTCAGACAGGAAAAACCCCAGCACCTCATGCTTGCATTAAAATAAGTTTCTTGGCCATAGTGGGAGACTTGTCAGCTCTATTACAATGACCTTCTGCCACTTGGTATCACCGTGCTTTATCTGCCCTGGGAAGAAATATACTTGATATGGAGCAGACACGACTAGAAAAACGCTGCTTCCTCTGGAGAAGCACTGTGGAGGGTGAGGGACAGTAAATTTAAAGGTAAGTTACTTTGGGGTTTGGTGTTCATATTATATTTTTATAATACTTTATGCCTACAAAAGAAACCATCATTCCTGCTTGGAGAAACCAATTTCATTCCTCACAACATCAAGTTTAAGTAGTATAACCAATTAATATAGATCCTTTAATAATTAGTTCGTTGTGCTGATGCACCTGATTGTCAAAATCAATTGTTCTTATCTTTCAAATAAAACACTGCTGTCAGAGTGACCATTCGAAATGACGATTGACCCTTTAAACCAAGGGGATTTATATCATGTTTATAGGTTTATCATTATGTGGACAAAATCATTGATCTTAAGATTTGTCTCTACAATTCTTCACATGGAATCATAAAATAACTTTTGGAGCACTTGTGACCCAAAGTGATAAGATTTCCTCCTAGAAATTCTATGTTCCTTTTAAAATCTCTGTAAGTTTTTTGATATTCACAAGAATTTGTACACCTTAACTACACATCGTGCAAATAAACATCTTCATTTGTTTTTAATATGACTAGTTTCTCTTCATTTCTTTACTGTGTGACTGAAATTTCATTTCAGGTAAGAGCCACCAAGAAATTCCTCTGAATTATTGGATGTTTTCCACCGAGAAAAGAAACTTCATTTAAATGGACAAATCTAAAAAATTTCTTCCCATATTTTGCATGCAAATTCCAGAACGTTTGAAGAAGTCAAATGTACCAATGGACAAAGTCTGAAGAACTAGAAGTCTTTGATCAAGTTTTGCTGAGGAGCAAAAGATCAGGAACTGAGGTGATTTTAATAGACTCACAAATCTACAAATTCAGAAGTTTAAGTGCCACAGATAAAACAGAAACAAATGTCAGAATTGTCTTGAATGTCTTACAATCAGTTTTGAGATTTCAATCCCTGTTTGCCTAGATCAGTAGATGGAGGTGCAGTGCATAGTCTGCATGTCCAGTTTGGTCACAATTTGACCGTTTACCTTTTTCCTAAAGACAGAATGCACTTAGAGACTCTTTTTCCTACCGAAATTCTGGGAAATTTTTCTCTGTAGAAATGTCAGTGAGTGACAGTCCAGTATTTAAAGGACATATGCTCTTCACTTTCCAAACCCCAGCTCTTTTTCCAGAGGAGTGAATTAGAGAAAAAGAACCATTTCTCTTTGTCTCAGCTGACATAAATTATGCAATGAAACAATTTTGGGGACTGGACAAGCAGTAAAACTGTCCATACAGACATAGCCATTGAGTCTCATAACACCTGAAGAAATCTCTCATCCTCTTTGGCATGTTGTTATTTATTCTCAAAATGTCTGGACCCTTTTAAATTCTACAAAATAGTAGAACCTCATTGATTTTTTAATAAGGTAAACATTGGTGAAAAATTGCTGCATTTCAAACTTTTCTGTCATTTCCCCATATTCCTTACATATGTGAAAATACTGGGATGATGAAAACATTACGTGTTTCCAGGAATTGAATGTAAGCGTATTGACATCAAGCATTCTATATTTGTTAAGGAAACCTGAAAACTGTCCAAAGATTGATCAAGAAGATAATCACATCTTCTTCAATTAGTTATCCACCTTTCTTTTTTATTATTTTGAAATTCCTGAAAGATACATACCATTTTAGTATTTTAATGACTTAGAGAGTGACAGTCTGTACAGAAAGAATTTTTACATTTAGTTGCATAACCAGAACTAGCTTCTAGCCAAGGTTTTTAGAAATTTTTTAAAAATACAGAAACAAAAGTGAATATGTTTTTGATTAAGACATTAATAGGTGTAAATTCATTGTTAATATGCTAACTGTCTTGGAAACTCCCAAAATTTGAGTAGTTCCAAGGGATTGCTATGGACTTGTTCATCAGGCACGCTACTATTTTCCTTGGTTAGTTTTGTCTTTAAAAGGTGAGATACTAAATTACCCACTTGGAAAGAGATTCAGAAAACATACGATTCTTCAATATTATGGACTGGGACCCCAGAAGAATTCAAACTTTATTAGTCCACTAATTCACAAGATTTCCTTTAGAGATATGGGAGGTACTAAAGCATGGTCTGAATTTTACCAATGTCCCCTAGACTTTCTGGGTCGTGAGCAAACTGGTAGCTATAGTATAAGGCTGAAATTTTCCATGTTTCAGAAATATTCCCAATTTATGTTGTTTTTCCAAAGACAGCCTGAGTACCAGCAACAGGATCTTTTTGTAGGATTCACATTAAAATGGTGGTTTGAACCTGGCGAAATGAATCTGTACTCCTTTATGCTTAAAATATATTTTTCCACCTTAGGCATGTACCTTTTAACCTAAAGAGTTTTCTGTCCAATGGGAGAAGAGCAGCAGGGAGGTAAACAGAATAACATATAATCTTCGCTCAAAAATAAACCCAAAATCATAGACAATTCCTTTGTTTGGATTTTGGTGAGACAACCAGTGGGACAGGTGGTTGCAGCCCAGTGCCTGTGGTGCTGTTTCACTCACAGTTTCAGATTGCCAAGCCAGAGGGCTGCCCTGGCTCCTGCTGGGTCAGCAGGCTCCATCCAGGGAGCAGACGATGCTGACATTTGCTCCAGCTGCTCTAGTGGTTCTGCTAGCTCTGCTTTCTGCAGGGGCACACATGGCTCTGCAAATGGGATTACAGAGTCCCCTTGCACGGCTCTTAAGCAGAGTCCTCCACCTCTAAAAGCCTTTTAGACTCAAACTTTTGCATCAGGAGGTTTTGAAATATTGCCTAAGATTGTAGCAGTCACTCATCACGTGGACCTTTGGGCTTAGCTGGCCCAGGCTTCTACACACTGTGATAACTGTAAACTCTCCTCCACTCCACCTTATGATGCACACGTGCTTTTGATAGAAATACCTCCCAAATATAACTGCTAACAAAAGAAATACACAAATTTCATGAATTTTGCACTTGCTTGATGGGGGTTTTTTTGTGCTCTTCTCAGCTGGGTAGCACTAAGTCACTAGCTATGTTGTTTTAAATATGCCCTTTAAGGTTGTACATTTAAAATATATTTTAAGAAATATATGAAGAAATATGAAGAAATGTTTTGAAGTATGAAAATCAGCCATCCTGGCGTTTTATAGTGATGAAATTAAAAGAAGTTCTGAAGGTCAAATAGTGAAATTTCAGTATTCAATTAACTTATAATTGAAAGTCTACTTGGACTCTCTTTCCCTTAAGTGGTTTATAATAGAAAAATAATAAAAATTAATATAGAATTCTGTGTCAAAAATCATGCAATATCATGCAAAATCATGCAAAAATAATGTAACAACATTATAATCAGAGAAAGCCCAATCAAAAGCAGATTTAAAGGAACTGAAATTTTTCTCATTACAGAAGCATACATTCCAAACAACTTCACCTGGTATTAGACGATGAGATTCAAACATTATATAAGTCTTTAAAATCAAGTTAATCAAATTGGAAACATTAAAATTATTAAGGAAACACACATATTTAATTTAATTGTATTTAATTGTGTCATCTTTACTAATAAGTTGGAAAATCAGAGTTAGGAAAAGTAAAATGTATTAATAAATTTGGTGTATTCTTTGGCAATTAAGATTCTAGTTTTTATGCAGAAAGGTCTTCTGTAGTAAAATAGAGGATGTGAGGATGTGTTATTTTCAGTAGTTACTACTGTAACTATTTGCTTTGTTATTTTCTGTACAAATGATTTATTAATAACATACTTTCCTATAAATGCATTCAGAAAAATCCTAACCACCCAAAATTAATTTGCAGTTTTTCCATTTGTTTCACTGGGACCATAATCTTGTCATCTATCTTTTGCATATGTTCATATGTGAATGACTCAAGGAAACTGTGTAAATGACCTATAATTATATTTTTTAGAAAGGTATTTTCTAGTAAGTGTAATCAATTACTTTTCTCTTTGGGCTTATCTGGATCAAATTATTCAAGAAAACCTATGGTTATTTCAAGAATATTAAATCTTTCTATTTAAGCAGTAAAGCAGATCTCACAGAAATCTGTGAAAATAGTATCAGGGTGGGAGATGCTGTTAGAAGCTGTCAGCAGGTAAAGTGCTAATATCACTCATTCAATTCATTTATCTCTTCTCTAAAATTCATATCTTCAATACAGCTACTTAATAATAGTACAATACCTGCAGTGCTATCAATCAAATTATTTTCTTCTTGGGTATTTCATTCTTTCATGTTTTCATTTTTGCTTACTTGCTGTGGTGGGGTTTTCCATTCTTTTTAAAGAGAAGTTCATCTAAGGTTTTTAAAACTTTTTTTTTCTTTATTTTTTAATTAGCAGTGCTGTGAAACCTAAGTCAAGTGATATTGCAGAACTTTGTCATGGTAATGTAATCCCAATTGACTCAAAAAGTATTTTCTGTTTCTTTTTCTTGTGTTTATACATAGCTGTCAAAATAAAAGCCTATCACTACCAACTGTAATCAGTTAAATCTACTGTTCAGGTATTTTAGTCAGGTTATTGCTTTTTTGCCTTCAATGTCTACATTTCTGAAAATTAATATTCTTTTAAGTTATCATGTTCACAGACCTTACCTTCACACCAAAGTTTCAGGGAGAAAACTTTATTAACTCAGGCCCTATGCAGGAACCATGTTCTGATACATTGATATTTCAATCCATTTTCTCAAAGTATGGTGCAAAAGTGTTCAAATTATAAATTAGATGTACAATTCAGATTATTTGGTAGTACTTTACCTTTAGCAACCCATTTTATATCTTATACCCATATTTTCATTGCTCATTTCTTCTTTCCATCACAGTTAGTCTTGCATTTTAAAATTCACTGGATTCAGTTTGCTCCTGACAAATATAAACAAGAAAATCCCTTCCCAGATGTTCTTGTTAACTATATATGTCTTCTGTATTTCACAACAAAATTGGGTTTTAGTCATATATTCTTAGGGATAACCATATTTGGGGAACAAGTTGGAGATTTAAAACACAAAACAGAAGTAATTACCTATCTTTCTTCACCGAGTGAGTATAAATTATGTTCTGTTGATATCATAGCAGAGGTAATGCTAAGAGTATTGTTATTTAAATTCAGCAGGAATTATAACAGGAATTTAAAGTTTTTTTCTGAATGTAGAATTATGATATGCTCTTTTCAAGTCTCTCTACAGAGAAATATATACATGTAAGATTATCAACTGGATTTTTTATTTATTTGAGTAAGAATATATGGCTTCTGCATTCTCAGAATTTAGTAGCTCTTGGTAATATTTGTGAACCAGATTTTTTCCCTCAACAGTTTACCTCTTCTGGACATAGTATTGATAATATCATGCATCTCAATGACGTAGTCTGGAAGCAAAATAAAATTGCAAATGACTTGGCATATATTATTGCTTTCTTCCTTCTCGATTTGAATACAATATAATAAACATAGTAAAATACAGAAAAATAGAAATGCAATACCAACAGGATCTATTTCATCAGCAGTGCTATATAATAATCCAGTATATAATAACTGCTTTTAAAAACGTTTTTTATGAATGAAATGGTGATGAGGATGCTGGAGTTCTATAGAAGCTCATAATCAGCTTTACAATACATATACCAAGATTGTCATAGGAATCAGTAATGGCAATGTTTAGAACTTTGGACAGTCCAGCAGTGTTATTGTAGGAAGAAGAGAATTTATCTTTGCAATATTAATTTAAGAATTGCAGAGACAACTTAATCTAAATCCTTTTGACAACTCTTCCTTTTGTTCAATGAATAACTAGTCCAAATATTAAAATATTCCTACCATTCTCACATAAAGAAAGTATTTAGGAACTACAACAAAAGGAAAAAACATGTTGATGATATACACTGCCTATAAAAAGAAGATACATTTTCTTCGTGGGATTTTGCTAATAAGCAAATTACAGCAGCAACAGAAAATCAATTCTGGAGGAGTGTCAAAGTAATGATTTTTCTTGGTGCTCTGTATTATATGGGCACTACTACAAGGACATGAACGTTTAAAAAGAAAGTGTGTTCATCCCTATTTAATTCCTGAGAAATTTCTTCCCTATGTATACAAATTTTCTCAAAAGTAAAAGACAATTTTACAAGTACTAGTGTAAAAGGCTACTTATATTTGTTTTTTGTGTTCTTGTTTTCTTTTTCTTCATTTTAACTGGAAACACTAGATTGTGTTTCCATTTAACAAGGCCAGGTTGGATGGGATTTGGGCAACCTGGTCTAGTGGAAGGTGTCCCTGTCCATAACAGGGGAGCTGGAACTAGATGGTCTCTAAGGGTCCCTTCCAACCAAAACCATTCTATTACTCTAATGTTTAATTTGATCAAATATTAATCTAAACAAGAAAAGTATTTCCCTATGGTTCTTTACCTTGAGATACTCTAATCCTCAATTTTTTTTTCCTTAGTAGCTTACGCATTGGAAAAATATTTTACTGTCCACAAGACATTTTTTATATATTCCTTATATCTATATCTTCCACTGATCAATGGCATGTCTGTCATGTTGAATGCACAATCTTCATTAAAGCATGAATCATACATTTCCATTTTTCCAAGATGACTTTGGAAAAAACTATAATGGATAGGGGTATTATGTTTAAATACATACTATTTAGTATACCTAGTATTTCCCCCAAATATTTAGTTTTCAGCATAAGGTTTTTTTTAATGGATTTGGGGGGGGGGGGGGGGGGGGAATTGTAATGTTGATAGATTATTAGTTTTTACATGTGCATTTTGGTGTGGCAAAATCCTGTGTGTAAAAGATTTGTAGGTTGATCATTATGTGGTAGAATTTCAGTAACAAAATCTTGCATAATAGAGCTTCTTCCCTGCAAATATACAGCAGCAGTTTCTGCCAGAAATCTCAGTGGGCTGGCACATTAGCACCAGGAATGTGATTATGCTTTAAAAAAACCTCTAGTTATTTACAATATCTTTCTTTTTGTACTGAATAATCTTAGAATATCTATTCCATGGGTCAAGTTTGATACTTCCAGTGTATTGTGCTACTGTGCCAATGGTTGTGTTGTAGACATCAGCTTTTACTCTACTAGTTAAAGATCTGAAACATAGAGGTATGACATGTCTTTATAAGTTAAGAACCTATTTACTTCTGTCTACTATCTGTCCTTAACACTGCAAGTATTGCTAAATATTGACAATTGGTTTTATTCACATAATTTTATTTAACAACTATAATGCAAATTCTAATTGCATTAAAATGTAAGTGAAATATTCATTTTCATATTCACTCCCTGGTATCTTCAGGTGGCCATATATATAGTAATATTTTGGGGAGAGGGAGTCTATTAATTCCTGTTTCTTTTTTTTTTTTCACTTTCTGGATAACTGACATATTATTGCAGTAAAACATATGTAGGGTCAATTCATGCTGAATAGTTATTAGAAACCATGATAACAAAAGTCATTACACTGCAGTTCAGTTTTGACAGTAAAATTTCTGCAACATTATCACAAATCCTCATGCATTAGTGCAATGATCCTTACTATAGTTTCATATTAGAATCAAAAGACTGCTGTAGCATGCTTGATACAAAAAGTCATGCAAGTCAAGTGAAGTTCTTTTATGCTTTTATAGATAACATATTTTCATGTCTTTCTCATGCATGTATCTGTCTCTGAGCCCTCTTGGATATTTCCTCCATTAGTATATTTCTCATCTGAGTTATAACTGTTTTAAAATAATATCCCTGTTGTTGAGAAAGGTCAAATATAAACTAAACCTAACAATGGCCACATGTCAGTTTAGGTAATGAATTCCTTCTGATTTTGTTGTTTCTACGTACTGACCTAAATGAAAAAAAAACCAGCTCAGCTCCCATATAAAGAAAAAATAACTTCTGATTCTAGACTTTGGGTTTAGTTCACTTTTCTGGAGATCAAAATTTACTTCATATGTTCACAAGACCAATAGTGAAAGCATAGTTAAGAATTTGGCAAAAATTCCCACCCACTCCCAAATTTTTACAAAACTTATGGGAAGAAACAAAACCGTCAAAAATTCAGTAGGAAAGAAATTACAACTATTATAGAAAAAAGTCATTTTTATATCTTTATATATTAAATCTTTAACCAACTTTCACGACTATTTTGATTAGGGAGATAACTGGGTAATCAAGCTGACATTTGGATTTTGCCAATATAACAAGACTAGATAGTAGCTAGTAAGCAAAAATGTGCAGTTTACAGAATTTTAAGCTGAAGTTCTCTTTGCCTTAGAGTTTTGATACTATAATATGTTGGCAAAAGAGCCAGTTTCATATGAAAACATGAGGGAAAAAGATGTATCTTCAATAAGCTTTTTATTATGTAAATTTCCTAAACTTTCTTAGAGCTAATTACATTTAAACAGTGTAAACATCAAGTTAATGTTACAATTAAATTTGAATCAATAACTCAATAAGTTCAAATGACTCAATCAGAATATTAATGCAACAGGCAACCAAACCTAATTATTAGTTTTGATAGCAAAAGGATGTTTTTGAGCTAATTTATGGAGAAGTCAGTGTCTTTTTCAGATGCATGAGCCATATCAGTGGCTTATCAGGTCACAGTTTTGATGCACAGGACAACAGTTCTGCAGTGAAGCCTGTAGGACTTCAGTGTTAGTTTGATCCTAGTCTATCCTAGAAGGAATGAAGTCTCTTTGCTTTGGTTTGGGTTTTTTTCCTAAAGAAATGTAGGAATTTGATAATTCAGTTAGGCACTTCATTTAATGGATGAGCATTCTCTAATGCCAGGAGAGTAAAGATTATGGAAATTTGTTTTTTTTAACCTGCATAGTCATAGATATTTAAAGGATACTTGCCCCCTTTTTTACCTCAGGGATACCTATGGTATTAAGATAAATGAGATGAGTAGGAATATTATTAGTTTTAGTGGCCCACGTTTTTTACAGTACACAGTTCTTTAAATAGAGGGGTGTGAATGGTGATGCCATGGGGCACCAGACCTTGAGTCACAAAACCAGCAATTTTGACCACAGATCAAATATTCCTCTAGTGCTATAGTGACATGATTTGATGCTGAGAAGATCATGATTCAGCCTTTGAGTTAAGGGGTATCAAGCAAATAAACAAAAATGATCTTTTGCAAAACACGAAAGAATTTAATCAGTAAGGGTTTCTTCATGTGTCGAATTGCTGCATGTCAGTTATGTCACTTAGAAACAAACCATCAAAGAAACGTGTGTGAGCTCAGTTCTTCCACCAGCAGCTTTTTACCTTGTTGCATGAACTTATCTTTTGTTCTTTCCCAGCAGATTCTACCTCTAATTAAAAAGAATGATTGTTTTGGTTAGTTTTCTTTTTATCCCCACATACTTTTATTTTTTTCCAAACTCTGAGCACCAGACTGAGCAGAATAGGGAAAGAGACACTGGGGAAGGACCTCTCTGGTACTAAGCAAAGTAGAAAGAGATGGACATTGCTAGCAATTCTATTAGACCATCCGTTCCAATATGTACATAAACATTAATATGTGTGTGTGCACAAATGAGGCTGATCAATCCTTGGTCAGCTGGTGGCTGTGATCATCTGCCTTGCTTCTTATGCCTTTGAAAACAGTGTTAAGGGGGAGATGTCTTTTAACAGGTTTTGCAACACACATCCTTGATCTTGTTTTGTGAGATTCTTATACCGGGAAATCTGTGTATGCGAGCTGAAGTGACCCTAACATAAGACTGGTTTTGCTGTAACACTTTACAGAGATGTTAGAATTATTTCTGAATCACAAACTTATTAAATATTAAAAAAATCAGAATCAGGAGTAAGAAGAGCTTCATTTCAAACCCCTCTTTTCTTTTTCTTTCAAGTTTTTACTTTCTTTCTCTTATTTGCATCTAAAATAGCTAGGTTTAATAGTCCAGAGTAATAAACAATTTCCTGAAGAAATGTCCAAAAGATCAAAAGGTAACCATATTTTATCTACTTGTTTGTTAGAGCACAGTATTAATAAGACCAAGGCTGTGGGTTTGATCCCTATATGGGCCACTAACTTGAGAGCTGGACTCAGTGATCTCTGTGGGTGCCTTCCAACTCAGAATATTCTGCGATTCTGTGATTTTTAACTGCATGGATTAATAGTTTGAGATTTATATTCCTATTAGCTACATAAACTAATGTTCATTCAGATTTACTTCAAACTTATGCTAAGATCATCATTAAGGTCACAGAGTTACAGCTTAATCTTGCAAATACTTCATAAAAATATTTGATGTCAAAGTAACTTGACTTAGCACTTAGTAACTGACCAAAAAATCCTTGTAGAAAATAACAAACAAAATTCTCTAGATTAATAATATTTTTGCTTTCCTTTGTAGGTCATAAGCACTTCTTAGAATCTTTCATGCTAGTAAAGCACATCTACACTGTAACTCACCCCAAATGCTTTACAGGAGGGGTACTTATGTTAAAGTCTTTCTAGGCCTACATTTTCCATGCGTATTTGCTTGGAAAAGTAAGAAATTCTTAACAGTTAAACATGTAAGATTAATGTGCCTTGTTATGCAAACTGTAATTTTAGAAACTGGAAGAGACTTTGTGTTGTGCCTTCTTAAGCCTTTCTGCTCCAAAAGGATTATAATAGCATAAATCAGCAGGAACGTCCTCAGCTACAATTAGCTGGAAATTGTTTGAAAAATAGTTCTCAACTGTCTGTGTTGAATGTCTATTGTGGGTTGGGGGAAAGGTATTGCAAGTTTTTGTTTCATAAAATTAATTTTCTTTCAGTTTAGAATGGGAAAAAAAGTCCAACAATGTGCTGACCAGCTCCAATCCCACTACACACTCTACAGTTTACATTAATATCTAAATAATTTCCTAGAGAATTCATAGAAGGATAAATTTATATGGAGAATGTAATTCTATGCAAGAATCCATTTAAAGGAATCTACTAAAACTGTCAGCAGACTTTTTTGTACACATAGATTATATTCCATCTTCAAAGAAGAGCAGGTAGAATTGCTGTCTCATGTATTCAGGATAAGGAATATTATGAAACGTGACAGCACTATGGCTACCAGACATCTTAATGATTAATCTTCCAGATTAGTTTAACAAATGAGAGAGGGCTCACTCCACAAGAGAAATTTGGGGTGAGAAAGAAGAAATCATTTTATTCCTTGAAACAGAGAAGGGAACTGATGCATGGTATGATTCACAGTGGCTTTCCAAATCAGTAATTTCCACAACGACACAGAAATAGCCTAATGCAGATTTGGTTGAAGGCCTCATTAGCATTACGACAACAAGGATCAAGATCTTATGAAAAAGATCTATTTCAGAAAAAAAGTAAGTAAATTGTTTACACTATTTTGGTATTTGTCATACATCAATCTGTTCTGGTATTCAGTGCTCCACCTCAGAGTGCAACACCTTGTGTATCACAACCATGGCCTGCTTTGGAAATAATATTATCACTTTTGTTCATTAAAAGCTATTCAGGTCCACTTCCAAGCATAAAAATGAAGGGTGGCCATAGACTGTGCAGGAATAATTCAGTGATGCTGATGGGCAGCATCTTACCCCTGTTGGATACTGAACCATCCAGCGCTGCAAGCATCCCTGGGACTGAGAAGGGAGAATACTAAGGGCAGATATGCCATCCTGCTGTCCCTGCAGTTTTGAAATTATTGATATTGAGATTCAAACAGATATTCCCCTCCATTGGAAGAGCCAGAAGGCAGAACTGGAGGGGTTTCTCTTGAAGGTAACCAGGAGACCAGGCAATGGTTCTTGAAAAACATTACATTAGCAGCTGAAAGGTACACAGTAAGAGCATTTGGTTTCATATGGAAGGAATATATGAAAGAAAAGTTTCTTATTCTTATGCACCTCCTCAGCTTTCTGATGATGATACCTGACCAAGAAAACAAATTAGAAGATGTAAAAACAGGAAGGAGTTTATCATGTCTCCTGGTCAACCATTTACTGACAGTGGCTTTTTTTAAACACATGTAAGGTTAATGATTAAGATCTTTTAAGCATTATTTTTAAAACATGGTCAGCCAATAAAATATGAAAGTACTTATCTAGAGAAAAAGATTGGTTTGAAAACTTGATTTTAAAGTTTCACAGAAACAAATAAAATTCTCTCATTTCCCAAGAACACCTGCCTGAACGACCAGGTTACAAATTATCCTTGGATAAGTCCATCTTAGTTTCTCATCATATTTTCACACACTGTCAATAGTAAGTTTTGAAGGAGACAAAAAGGATGAAATAGTCATTAAGATGTTCATCTAACAGTAGAATCCCAGCCTGAAAGAAATTTTAAGTAAATGATACTAAAAAAAGTAGTTTCATCAGTAATGCTGAAGGAAGAAACTCCACAATAATGTAGGTCCCAGATCTGGGCATGCTATTGAAAGGAATTTTATCTTCTTCCAAATCTCTGCTCTAAATCAGACAGTGGGAATATTAATTTGAGTCTTCCACTTCTTGAGAACTCTTAACCCTGGGATTTTGGAGAACAATCCCTCCTTGATCCCTCCCTTCACAATATTACTACATATTAAGAAACTTCCAAGGCTGCTGACAGACACTGGTACTTCTGCTCCTACCTGGCTTTCATACTAGAGTTGGAAGCTTTTTCCTTTCTCTGTGGGTACACTAAGGGTGTGGTGGGATATTAGAACACTTTTTAAGGTGTCCTAGAGGCTCGATTTCTAGTGTCAATCTCCCTTCAGGGAAGAGTAACTTTGCCCAGCTCCATTAATTTTTTTGGCTGGAATTATGTAAGTAATAGCACTTAGAATATTAAAAAGTGACAACACAGATACAAAAAATGAAAACTAAGAGTAAAAGAAAAACTACATTTACTGTTTTTATACTGCAAGTAGATATGAATTTCCATCTTCAAGCAGCTTTCTGCTTCCCTCTCAATAACGTGGTTGTCAGTGTTTCAGGTTTTGGGAATGTTCCTCTTCTCTTAATGTTATACCTTACACACTAGGGTCACTCTAACCTTTCAAAACTGCTAGGAGGGCTAGAAGGATTTAGCATTTCCCTTGAAACTAGCAGAAAACATGATCCAGGTGAATAAGTGAAGCTTTATTAGAGTAAAGGTTTGTTCTATACCCAGAAGTTCCCTTGTATATGGAACTGTTCGGCAAAGAAACCTTTCCTTCAATGAGCTGTGAAATTCTAGCACCTCCCTTTTGCTATTTGATATTTTACAGCAAGGATATACCTCTCAATCAACCTAAGAGGCCATGTCAATCTTCAAATAAACAAAAAAAACCCCATACTGATATATAAGCAATTCACTTATTTTTAGCCTGTTGCATTTTCTTGGTTGCTATCAGACAGTGTTTGATATCAGTGAGCCAGTCTTGCAGTGGGGCAATGGTTTTGGGATGAGTGATCCCCAGCTCCTTCACATTGATTCTCTCTCATACCTCTTCTTTTTAGTAGTACTTACATAGACCTTTCTATAGAGCAATGGTAGAAATTTTCCATCTGACCTGCCATGTACACTCAAAAATTCTATCAATTATGAAAGAAAATGTAAAAATTCCTTTATGTGTCTTGGTTATAAAGTTAATATGACACTAAATATGAATCCATTTGTCTTAAGACAAATAACTTCGAGATGAGACTGTGTGCTTCCTGAAGAATTTTGGGCTTACGTTCAGAGAAATACATTATTGAAAGTTAAACTGAAAGAATACAAGGCAAACTGATTTCATTGGGAAAGGATTTGTATCTAATGCCCTGATCAAAGAGGTCTTTAGGACATGAGTGTGATGTGTCCCTGACACAAGACAAAGACAGAAATGAAACACTGATCTAGGCTAGAAATTCACTTCTCTAGGGAGCAGCTGTAGCACAGTGATTTGTGCTCTTGGGAATGAATCCCTGCAAGTCACTACAGGTAAACCCAGGGTTTGAAATTTCTTGGGATAAATGCATTATATAAGTATCTTAAATTCATCTAGCCCTTTTAATAAAAAAAAAAAAGCTATTCACATTTTCTGAAAATGATTTGCTGAATTGAAGAGTGAAAGACTGAATGCAAAAAAGAGGTTGGGAATGAGGAGTTATGGTATGAATGAGCACCAGAACTGATCTAATTTCCAGACATAAACTGTGTTGATGCAGCTTTACTATCCATTTCCCAGTTACCCAATGTAATTTTGTTAGTCCTAATATATTTTACCACTAAATCTAGCCATTCTTGACATTGATTT